CCGAGGATGTACTCCTCGACGGGCACCACGCCGTGTACAAAGTCCCTGCGGCGGCGGCGGCGGTGGCGTCAGTCCAGACCGGCCACCGGAGGCGGGAGCAGCGCTGGCGGCCGGGTCCCTCCCCGCTGGCACACCCAGCCACCCCGGCCCCACAGCTGAGGAGGCACCGTGTTCACCGACAGCACCTGCAGGCGGCCGGGTCCCTCCCTGCTGGCACACCCAGCCACCCCGACCCCGCAGCTGAGGAGGCGCCGTGTCCACCGACAGCACCTGCAGGCGGCCGGGTCCCTCCCCGCTGGCACACCCAGCCACCCCGGCCCCGCAGCTGAGGAGGCACCGTGTCCACCGACAGCACCTGCAGGCGTCCATGCGGCAGCCCCTGGCTCCGGCAAGCCTGAGGCAGCCGGGCCTCCTCGTCAAAAAGCTATCCAGCGCAATCCATGCCGGAATCATCGTCCAACGTCTCTGGAGATGCGGGCGGATAACAGTGACTTTGCGACTCATGCATTTCTCTGATAGGTGAGAAAATGCCCGTCTTCCACTGCTGCAGAGTAGCAGTAAATACTCCAAAGTCTTCCGGTAAGCGCACAGCATGTGCAACTCCTCACAGCAATACCAGGCCTAAGTTCGCAAAGTCCGGAGGCTCGCCTTACATCGTTAGGTCCCTCTATCGCCACCTGTACGCCACCTACTGAGACGCTCAGCACCGCGCAATCGCGGCGGCCAGACTTCCCAGAGGCGGCCCTGGCGCCGCGGCCGCTCACCGGATCGAGTAGCGGGCGCAGGAGGCCCAGCTCTCCGGCCGGTACTCGCGGAACCACTTGTGCGGCTCACCGCGCGCCAGGTCGATGTCCTGCAGCACCATCAGCGCCGTCCAGTGGTCCGGCGAGCCCAGCAGCGGGAACAGCCGCGCCTCGTACAGCGTGTGCCGCGCCTCGGGCAGCTGGCCGGCAACAGGTGTCAGCGGCAGTGTCAGAGGCAACAGCTGCGCCTCGGGCAGCTGGCCGGGAGCAGGTGTCAGCGGTAGTGCCAGAGGGGACAGCCGCGCCTCGTGCAGCGTGCGCCGCGCCTCGGGCAGCTGGCCGGGAGCAGGTGTAAGCGGAAGACACAGAGGGAACAGACGCGCCTCGGGCAGCTGGCCGGCAGCAGGTGTCAACGGAGGACACAGAGGGAACAGACGCGCCTCGGGCAGCTGGTCGGGAGCAGGTGTCAGCGGCAGTGTCAGAGAGAACAGCCGCGCCTCGAGCGGCTGTCCAGCTCAGGTAAGTCGGACATCCCCACACAGAGGGTACGGGCACAGACGGCTCACGCTACTTCTCCACGGGCCCCAGGCAGTCTGGACCACCGATCAGAGCCACAGGTGGGCATCGCCTCCGCTCTCAGCGGTCAGTCTTGAGCATCACTCACGTCCGGCCAGAGGTCCTTGGGATTGACACCCTTGCGCCGGAAGAAGTCGGCCCAGGGCCGGTTCAGGTAGGTGGCGCTCGGGTCGCTGTGGTGCAGGAACAGCAGGTCGCCGGTGCCGAACAGCGCGCACGCGTAGGTGAGCCCGTGGCAGGGCGGGTACACGCAGCGGTCCTCGCGGTGGATCTTGAAGTCCTGGTAGCCGATCAGCGCCAGGTTGTCCTGAAGGATGAGCGCCTGCGGCAGCGGCGGTGGCCGTGGCGTCAGAGCAGGCCGACATTCAGGGCGCGACGAGGCGTCCCCACCAGGCTCAGGTCATGCAGTGGACCGCCCTCAGGCATCGGGCCGAGCGTGCGTGCCACTGACAGCACAAGCTTCCGAGATGCATCGCTCACGCGGCGCCATGTGAATAGCACCGATAAGCGAGTGTGATGCTATTGCGACAGAGGGGTTTAGTCTCGGGGCAAACTATTCTGGCCAAGTCCTCAGATAGACTAGCGTGACATAAGTCACTTCAGCAGTAATGAGCAGTCCGTCTCACACATTAAACGTCGCGGAGCGTCGCACGTAGAGCAGACGGTTGAAGCCAACAAGGCTAACAATCCCACCATCAGACCAACAGCATATCGATAACAAAAGACATCCAGCAGCATAATCACAACGAAACCCCGGCAAACCAATCAGGGCACCGCTGCCGCCTCTGCTCACAAAACCACAGCTCATCACGATGGAGCGTAACGGCAGTACGACCATCATCACCGCGACGCCCGCTGTACACGCCATATTATTTAAACCGCGGCAACCTCATCGTCGCCAGGCCTTGCAGCCCTCCACCAGCGCAGCGCCCCGCTCTGAACCGCCTGCGAGCAAGGCAACGTACCTTGATGCGCTGCAGGTAGATGCCCGATATGTAGACGTTCCTGCCCAGCGTGAGCAGGCCGCACTTGATGTTGCTACTCATGACGACGCCGCCGCCGCCGCCGCCGGACGAAGTGCCCTTCACCTCGTACGTCAGCTTGGAGTTGATGACGGTAGTATCGCTCCACTCGCTCTGCTGCGTGTCGCGCCGCCCCCGCCTGAGGTCACAGCGGGGTCAGCGGAGGTCAGTGGGGTCGGACGGTCGGGTGGCATGTCAGGCGG